GTAAATTATATGGCCTTCCAAATACCGTTTCGATTCCTAACATCACTGAAAAGACATAAATTGTCGAAACCCGGATATGGTGTACAAATTTTTGCACCTCATGTTTGTGGTATACCATCTTTTCCGCAAGTTTGTTGTTTTCTGTTTGGTATGAAATTAATAATAAAGATCCATTTTGTTACATCTTGTAATCCGTTTATTTGGCAATCACCAATGGCAGTCAGCAGGGTTTAAGAACATCCGTTGTTCGACCTGTTAGTCAAAGCGTTTTGTTTAAATATACTTTTCACTTTTTTGGTCTTTTGAAAAATGTTGTTTGTGCTGTATTTAAACCCCATTACCAAGAAATTTGTTTTGCATGCACACGTATAACAATTGCGGCTTTTATCCAACGCAGTCATAGGTTGAACGTAGTTTTCAATTTAGACTTATTTATATTTTTTCGTTTGGGCTAGTATTATATTTGCCTTCGGTTTTATATGATCCGTTCATCCTATCTCGACTCTTCAAAATTCAAGAGTCTATCCTAAATTGAGGTAAATTATATGGCCTTCCAAATACCGTTTCGATTCCTAACATCACTGAAGAGACATTAATTGTCGAAATCCGGATATGGTGTACAAAGTTTTGCACCTCATGTTTGCTGTATACCATCTTTTCCGCAAGTTTATTGTTTTCTGTTTGGTATTAAATTAATAATAAAGATCCATTTTGTTACATCTTGTGATACGTTTATTTGGCAATCGCCAATGGCAGTCATCAGGGTTTAAGAACATCCGTTGTTCGACCTGTTAGTCAAATGCGTTTTGTTTAAGTATGATATTTATATACAGTATAGTGACAATTATATATATTGGGTTTTGATTGATATTTACAGTGTGGTGTCAGTGGTGAAATGCATAAGATTGAATTATTTATGAGGGGCTTCAGTAAGGTGACAACCAATTGATATTAAATGATGGGGGGAGGGGGGAGCAGATTTTTTCTGTTTTAATAATTTATTTTCATATAATGCTTCGCATGGTTAATTTTTTTTTCAAAATATCTAGTTTTGTCAGAGGTCTCAAATAATTATCGTCACGTGATTTGTCAAAATCAGTCGACTGGTTTATAGTCTTAAAGAAAGTGAACATTTTATTGTCATGCAAGAAAAATTACCGTTAACGTAATTTGGCAAGACTTGTTACCGTTATTTGTCATGAAGGTACCCCAATATTACGACCCTAAGACATTCATTTTCAAAATCATCCTGGCCGCCCCCAGAAAATCAACTGGTCGTCCCCTATGAACACTTCACTGACCTGACTCCTACACATGGAGGATTTTTATGGTCTGTTGAACCAGAGCACATGTTGTAGTAAGAAAGGGAAAAGGGGGGGGGGGGGGAAATGCCTCTCTCCATTTAAACTGTTATTTTGTATTCAAAGATGATGTATGTGTTCTTTGTTTCAATGCTACATTTTTCATACCTTTCACAAGTTTTTTTAGTGTTTTATGCGTTATGTATGCTCTTAGGGACTGGAAAGAGAGTCACTTCAGCTATTTCGCCGATACAAGTAAATAAATGCGTACAAAGCTATCTCCCCAAAGACGATTTTTCAAAACTGAAAGTAGGAAATTCGGAATTGTTTCTTGCGCATGCGCATAAAGCGCGGTGATAGTTACGGTGACTATATCTATAACCTTGTATATTATAAACCTCAAATGGGGGATGAGTAGTGAAAAATAAATGAAAACGGAACGACTCTGATTCTAAAAACGGATGTTAGATATACTGTATATTTGGGTTGATATAGATATATACGATGTTATATTTTTGTCCAGTTTTCCATGTTAAATAATTAAAATGAGAAGATATTAATTTACCTTACAGTTTCCTTTTCCGGCGATGTTGAAATGTATAAATGATATAAAACAAGATAAACGTCCTTGACCTACTTTATATCTTTATTCGGATACTTGCGGATATCTTCTCAAAGTTCAAGGGAAATATTAGAAAAGAACCTGGATAGAACCAAGAAGTTTGGTTCCTATAACCCAACAACCCGGATGTTGAACCAGTTATCATGGTTTCGAACCAAAGAACCCCGATAGAACCAAGGTTCAGAACCAAAAGACCCGGATGGAACCAAGGTTTTGAACCAGAGTGCCCGGATAGAACCTAATTGCATTCGGAAATCTCATGATTTTTTATACCTTCAACGTATTTTCCAAATCATTTATTTATTTAGTATATTTATATATAATTTAGACTGGGACGATTAAGAGTTTTTTTTATATCCTATAAATGAAGAATTTATGTTTCCCTCAATGTGTCTTTTGGCTGCATTCGTCACAACTCGGCCGATTCCGTACCTTCACCTAATATGATAGAAGGAGAGTAGAGGATTGCCGATTGTTTTTGGCTTTTGTCTCATTTACGTATATTCCACATCTGCTTTTATTCATAAATGTTTTTTTGTTTGTTATCTATGGGTCTGTTAAAAATCAAACTGTCAAATTTATGAATCCTGGAAAATGCTAGTGAGTCATGAGTAACAACATGCATGTCACTAGGGGACCTGACCCTAAAATGGAGTTATTTGAAGATATTCCGAATTGAAGAAAATATTATAAAAGGAGATTTCGGCTATCCATAAATAAGAGAGCTATCAACGACAAAAATAAGAAAATAAATACATCTAGAGGGCAGCACTACAGCAACAACACTGCTGCATTTATACGAGATCATATTGATGTTTCAAATTGAAGACCATTTTCTTTATTTTGGATACTTATTAGAATTTATAAATTGACACCAAGATTGAACAAGTATGTTTTTCCGTACTTTGGTATGCTGTGTCATGCGATATATAATGTAAGTCAGTAGTGAAGGTACTTTGGTATGCTGTGTCATGTGAGATATATTGTAAGTCAGTTAGTGAAGGTACTTTGGTATGCTGTGTCATGTGAGATATACTGTAAGTCAGTAGTGAAGGTACTTTGGTATGCTGTGTCATGTGAGATATAATGTAAGTCAGTAGTGAAGGTACTTTGGTATGCTGTGTCGTGTGAGATATAATGTAAGTCAGTAGTGAAGGTACTTTGGTATGCTGTGGCGTGTGAGATATACTGTAAGTCAGAAGTGAAGGTACTTTGGTATGCTGTGTCATGTGAGATATAATGTAAGTCAGTAGTGAAGGTACTTTGGTATGCTGTGTCATGTGATATATAATGTAAGTCAGTAATGAAGGTACTTTGGTATGCTGTGTCATGTGAGATATACTGTTAGTCAGTTAGTGAAGGTACTTTGGTATGTTGTGTCATGTGAGATATAATGTAAGTCAGTAGTGAAGGTACTTTGGTATGCTGTGTCATGTGAGATATACTGTAAGTCAGAAGTGACGGTACTTTGGTATGCTGTGTCGTATGAAATATAATGTAAGTCAGTAGTGAAGGTACTTTGGTATGCTGTGTCATGTGAGATATAATGTAAGTCAGTTAGTGAAGGTACTTTGGTATGCTGTGTCGTGTGAGATATAATGTAAGTCAGTAGTGAAGGTACTTTGGTATGCTGTGTCATGTGAGATATACTGTAAGTCAGTAAGTGAAGGTACTTTGGTATGCTGTGGCGTGTGAGATATACTGTAAGTCAGTAGTGAAGGTACTTTGGTATGCTGTGTCATGTGAAATATAATGTAAGTCAGTAGTGAATGTACTTTGGTATGCTGTGTCGTGTGAGATATAATGTAAGTCAGTTGTGAAGGTACTTTGGTATGCTGTGTCATGTGAGATATAATGTAAATCTGTAGTGAAGGTACTTTGGTATGCTGTGTCATGTGAGATATAATATAAGTCATTAGTGATGGTACTTTGGTATGCTGTGCCATGTGAAATATAATGTAAGTCAGTAGTGAAGGTACTTTGGTATGCTGTGTCATGTGAGATATAATGTGTCAGTAGTGAAGGTACTTTGGTATGCTGTGGCATGTGAGATATACTGTAAGTCAGTAGTGAGAGTACTTTGGTATGCTGTGTCGTGTGAGTTATAATGTAAGTCATTAGTGATGGTACTTTGGTATGCTGTGTCCTGTGAGATATAATGTAAGTCAGTAGTGAGAGTACTTTGGTATGCTGTGTCGTGTGAGATATAATGTAAGTCATTAGTGATGGTACTTTGGTATGCTGTGTCCTGTGAGATATAATGTAAGTCATTAGTGATGGTACTTTGGTATGCTGTGTCATGTGATAGATACTGTAAGTCAGTAGTGAAGGTACTTTGGTATGCTGTGTCATGTGAGATATAATGTAAGTCAGTAGTGAAGGTACTTTGGTATGCTGTGTCATGTGAGATATAATGTAAGTCAGTAGTGATGGTACTTTGGTATGCTGTGTCATGTGAGATATAATGTAAGTCAGTAGTGAAGGTACTTTGGTATGCTGTGTCATGTGAGATATAAGGTAAGTCAGTAGTGAAGGTACTTTGGTATGCTGTGTCATGTGAGATATAATGTAAGTCAGTAGTGAAGGTACTTTGATATGCTGTGTCATGTGAGATATACTGTAAGTCAGTTAGTGAAGGTACTTTGGTATGCTGTGTCATGTGAGATATAATGTAAGTCAGTAGTGAAGGTACTTTGGTATGCTGTGTCATATAAGATATAATGTAAGTCATTAGTGATGGTACTTTGGTATGCTGTGGCATGTGAGATATAATGTAAGTCTGTTTTGAAGGTACTTTGGTATGCTGTGTCATGTGAGATATAATGTAAGTCAGTAGTGAAGGTATTATCTAAATCTTTAGATTACGCGATGATTATTTGTTGTCCTTGACATTTGATTTACGCATTTCTAACAACAATATACCCTATATGTATAAATTTAAGATGCAATTCAAACCGACAGATACTGAAGTGTTACCGACATACTGGTGAATATTATGATGTGCAATAAATTAAGTTTTATATCTATAGTAATAAATACCCAAATAATAAGTATACCCTATTAATATTCTGGATGATTTCTCTCACAGTACAATGTTACATGTTTTGCTTGTAAGTATTGATAATATTTGAATTCGGAAATACTCTAAATTATTTATTGAAACAGGAAATATGATATTTGTACTGATTCTGAAATAAATGTATCTCCATGACAAAGTTTACTCAAATATAGTCTTTTTTTAAGACTTTCGTTTTTAATGTGAATAACTCGTGCAGGTTTAGATTTACTCTTTTTATCGTTAATGCTCATCTGCGACATATGAGTTTTGAATGTCCTCTTGGTATTTTCCGCGTGTTTCTTTTTAAACGTAAAAAAACAACAAGAGAATAAACTGCCAAAATCAATTGGAAAGGGCTTGAACCATCAGATTGGAACCAAGCACAAAACAATAAGGGAATGAACTGCCAAAATCAATTAGAAAGGGCTTGAACCATCATATTGGAACCAAGCACAAAACATTAAAGGAATAAGCTGCCAAAATCAACTGGAAAGGACTTGAACCATCAGATTGGTTCTAACCAGAAAACAACAAAGGAATAAGCTGCTAAAATTAATTGGAAATGGATTGAACCATCAGATTGGTACTAAGCACAAAACAATAAGGGGATAAACTGCCAAAATCAATTGGAAGGGGCATGAAAGAGAGGCGAAAGATACCAAAGGGACATTCAAACAAAAGTCGAAAATAAAATGACAACGCCATGGCTAAAAAAGAAAAAACCCAACAGACAAACAATAGTACACAAAACAAAACATAGAAAACTAAAGACTGAGCAACATGAACCCCAACAAAAACTAGGGGTGATCTCAGGTGCTCCGGAAGGGTTAGCAGATCCAGCTCCACATGTGGCCAATCAGATTGGTACAAAACCAACTAACAAGCGACATTAGACATGTAGTACCGATCTAAGAGTACTCGTAGTTAATAAAAACTCGTTCAAAGTTGAATTAAACAACTACGGGTTATGTGGAAATAAGTCAAAGGCAGAATGTACATGTCAATTTTTGAGGCGTAAGACCATTAGTGTCTCCTTATTCATTCTTGGACATGCAAACAAACATTTGATTCGTAATAGAAATTGAAAAAAAAAGTTTCGTCATTTATTTAGTAAATTCACAATGAAACCGGTCATTGATATCAAAATAACTGATTTTTTAAAATAGACTTGAAGTTAAGTACATTTGTTGATCACAAACTATACGAACAGTTACGTCATAATATTTCCAATCTCTTTGTTGTACACTGTGTTAATGCATCTTACAAATCAACCATCAACAAACCAATATTTATTTTAGACGTTTCTATACTGACATAAATTCAAATTTATGATTACAAATAGTTTTATACTTTAATGTTTGGACTACACTTTAAATACACGACTTAATTTATTTTCAAACCAAAAATGTAAATGCGTAATAGATAAAATTTCCTTTAATATTCAATACATAATAAAATATATGTCGATTTTCAAGTTAACACAAAACGATTCAAAAATACCTTGTACTTGACGTAAAACCTGTGTTACATGTATAAAGACGAAACGTGGACATGATGTAGAATTTGTTAATAGGTTCACATTTGATATGGCATGCGTTGTCAGATATGATCGACTGCACCTTTATCTGGTTAGTTTTGTCTTTCTATCATAGTTAGTTTTTTTTTCTTTCTATCATAGCTCAGGCTATAAAATTTTAAATGTTGTGTGATTTATAATTATTAAATGGTTATGGAAAAGTCATGCGGAATTGTGTACAACTATATTAGGAAATTTCTTTTAATGTTCTTAAAAAAGTAAGATTAACATTTTATAAATTTAATGCGTACGAAGCGATTTTCTGGATTTACCTAATACAGGAAAAGTCAAAACAAAAACCTCTGAGAGCCAAAGATGTATTATGAGGAGCTATATGACCAAAAGGTCAACATCGTTATCAAGTTGACTTCTTTGGTTCTAGCTCCACTGAAGAGTCTTGTGGAGGGAAAACGCGCCAAGCGTACTAGAATTATTCTATAGGTATCTGTGATTTCTCTAGTTTCATAATTGTAGATTTCACTGTTGTCTGCAGCCTGCGGAAATCCCGTAACAAAAACGGTTGAAGGTATGTAAGTCTCTCAATCAGGTATCAAAAACACTAGAAGGTTTGTAAATGTCTATCAGTTTATTCATATTTATTTTATTTAACTTTTACCGCAAACGTACTTCGTAAAAAATAATCACGAACTTGTCTGATGAAGTTACTCCATAGAAAACGCTTCGTTCGCGAAACAATTGTACTCTCGGAATTGCTTTCTGATTTTCATGTAAGAACTACAATGTTATAAAGTCAGCAGTTTTAACGATTGTGGCTTTTCCAAAAGAGAGGCGAAAGATACCAAAGGGACATTTGTGTATCGCTTATTCACAGAAATGTACCGGAAGTTAATTGAAAGCCCCCCAAACGTAATGATAAATTACAAGGATAAAAACATCGAATAGTACGACAATATACCACACCCAACAACAACGGACTTGATATCCTTAAGTGATAGGATTTGACTTTAAAGTGCACCCCCCTTTTAATCTATCTAAGACCATATTTCATTAAAAAAAAACTAAAATACAAAAACCTACACAAACCAGCTGTCTTCATAATGGCTACTAACTTGAACAAGAATATTAAGGACGGCTAGTATTCATAGATTGGTCAAAGGGGCTGCTACTACAGACAGCTAGCTTAGTAAGCCTCGGTTAATTGTTGAATATTGCCGCTAAAAAAACAGAAACAACACTCCTAACTTATTTAATGCAGTCACCTCGTGAAGTCAATCAAATCGTCAGTATACAATCTGCTTATGAGAGGCCATAGTCAGACAATCGAAAGAAACGATATGTTCAATTATACTAGTTTATCGCACCGCCGGTAAATTATCACGTTGTGATTGGTTTAACGCCGTCACGTGGTGACCCCCTATGGATCCGTAGGGGGTTAGTAAATTTCATAGGGGGTTCATGACGTCATCTATTAATGTTGTTGTGTTTAATTGTTTATTTCTCTACAAAACACAGCGGAAAAAAGTCTCGCGGGCGATAAATTCGTTATACGGTTAATTACTGACCCCCTACGGACCATAGAGGGTGAATAAAATCCATAGGAGATTCGGCCTTCGGCCTCACCCCTATGGATTTTACTAACCCTCTATGGATCCGTAGGGGGTCAGTAGCGAACCATATAACTTATAATATCACGTCGGTAGCCCTTGGTGGTGTGTTACAACTATCCCTGGTTTAAATATATTATGTTTCAGTGTTTTAGTTCTACAAGTTCTTCAGACATACAAACAAACAAACAATGTTACAAAATTAATGCTACACGATAATTGTGAATGAATTGGAGGCAACATAGTTAACTGATGTTTAAATATCATAAGGGACCGGTCAATATTTATTGGGGGGTTGGGACCGGTGCAATTCATATTTCTCCCTTAAAAAATCTATGTCCTACCCTCTGAATATACCAAAAAAAGTTTCTGTCCTATATGAAATATCTACTAAATAAGTATATGTCCTATCTAATCTATGAATAAATCAAACAGACTTTAACTTCATTTTTATCAGATTATCATAGATCACATATAGTAGTCTTTGAATTTGTCTGGAATTTTAACTGATCTCCTCCTTGAAGAAGGCAATTTTAACTGATCTCCTCCTTGAAGAAGGCAAATAAGATTCCTTTTCAATTTCACTTTCACTGCCACTACTACTACTATTACTACTATATTCATCATTAGTATTATTATCATTATTGTCATTATCACTGTCAGAACTGTCATAGGCTCTTATTACAAGGTCATCTTCTTCATCACTTTGGATTTGTTCATTATCTAGAGCTAACATTGTTGCTATGTTTCGTTTAACTGCTTGAGTCTTTTCTGTCTTGTAATGATATACACCTAACTTGTGATGTTCTATGTATTTATCCAAAGTTGCAACTGTTTGCTTTTCAATTAAATTGTTTTCAAACAGTTCATCCCAGTTTATTTCTTCATCTGTCTTTTCAGCTTCACCCTGTCGTTTTTTTTGTGCGGTAAGCATGCTTTTCCCCCACAAAAATAACCACTTATATGGTACATGTATATGAATTTATTTATACAATAATATTTTTATGAATTCCATGTGATATGCAAAAGAAGTTCTTGGTAAGAAGGCATAATGCACAACCCGAAGGAAGAACCAAGAACTATTTTTGCATATCACATGGAACACATAATATTACTGTTATTATTACTCTGAATGTTCATGCGCAGAGATGATCTTGAATTAATATGCGAATTATCCGCCCACACATACATGTATTCATTGTGATTTTATATTTAAACCGCTCATGTTATATTAAAATCGATATAACACCCTGAATGTGGATATAACCCATTTGATATTACGATGGATATTATTTGAATCCTATTTATTCCTTATAAAAATATGTCAAAACAGTAGAACTGCAATTCTAATGGAAGATTCTTACATGAAGAGTAATACTCTACAATAGTTTATGAACAATTTGTATTATCTTTTTTTTTTTAATATATATTTTTTTTCTGTCTTTTGACTTTGTTTTTTTCTTAATTTTCTAGTCAGAATGTTTTATTGTTAAAATAGTTTTCCTTATTTTTAAAGATGTATAATTTATTTAATCCTACCTTTATTTAATGATTTGCGTTTGGTTAATTTGTACCACACTGATGGCAGTATATCATATCACTTATTAAAAGCTCCATCAATGTTCTCTTTTTACATTTGTTTATTGTTGTTTATTTTGTTTTTATTAATTTTATGTTTTTTTTGTTATTATTTATTTTTTATACATGTATATTTTTTCAACCTTTTTAAAATCATTACATTATTGTTCTATAAACATTATATTAATGTCTAGACTTGAAATTGTATTTCCATTGTTGTTACTTGTTTATTCCTCAATTAATCTTGTTTATTTTGTTGTAATTAAATTTGTATAGCCTATTTTCTACATTCATACATATGCCATAAAAATATTGCTGTCCTATCAGTGCTGAAAACTAAAAAAGTAGAAGTCCTATCAAAAATTAAGTAAAAAAAAATGTGTTTTCTTCTGCGTTTTGCACCGGTCCCCCCCCCCCCCCCCCCAATAACTATTGACCGGTCCCTAAATCTATCAAGAATATACAAATCGAGATGAAATTAAGAGCTGCGCCGTGAGCGCATGATATGCCCGTCCCTTTTTCAACGACTAAAGTTACATTACTCCTCAATGTCATATCAGAAATTTCTAATAAAAAACTAAAGGGAGCTTATTTTAATAGATATAAACTATTCACCTTAGTTTCATGAAAACTGCTCAAGCATTTTTGAGTTATTGTCCGAAAACTGAAAAAATCCCCACTATTTTATGAATATAATCCCATAACTCGGAAACGTAAAATCTAAAATTTCTAAAAAAAAAATCGAAAGAGAGCTTACGACAATAGATATAAACAATTCATCAAAGTTTCATGAAAATTGTTTAAAGCGTTTTTTGAGTTATTGACCGACATGTTGACGACGGACGGACAACGGTATACTATAATACGTCCCGTAAACGGGCGTATAAAAAAACTAAAAAAACTGAGAAAATACCATGAACTCCAAAAGGAGGCAGACCGGATGCTTCGACAGGTAAGCGTCTCCAGCTATCCATGCATCACCCGCCATGCATATCCATACTCAGTCATAAAGTCACAAACACAATTTATTTATATTGAATTTTTAAACTGGCTACATTCATTTTTTTTCACTGTTAAGATGCAGATTTTTGGAGAAATCAAGCTCAAGAGGATTTAAATCAACGACTTTCTTATCTATGGAACACAAACGCTGCCAAAAATGTGATAATGTTCTTGGGAGATGGTATGGGAATATCTACTGTTACGGCTGCACGGATTTATAAAGGACAGTTGAATGGACAAACAGGAGAGGAAGCGGAAATGACATTCGAAACATTTCCATACACAGGGTTCATAAAGGTATATCCTCTTATTTTGTGACGTATTAAATATTTGATTTAGGAGATATGGATTTAATTTTTGATGTAATAGAAAGAGGCAAGATTGATAATTGTATCAATGAGTATATGAAACGATGATGGAATCAACGAATAACAACAGTTTTACAGTCTAAGTGCGAGGAAAGCCTTTCTTTTGACATCTCATTTGTTGGCAAAAAATCAAAGATATTCATGTTATGAAAGAACGTTCAAAAGAAAGTCTTGCATCAGCAGACATTATTAGAACAACAGAAGTGTATACGGTCTTTATAAAACAATGGCATTAAATATTTCGGCTTCCCGTGCTTGATTTTATTTGCTTTAAAACTTATGATAATTATGTGTTGATCTTAAAACCAAACGGTATTCTATAATTATCCGAAACCAAATGTTAGAAGGCGTCACTAGTTGAGCAGAAAATGTTGATCATACCACATAACCTTATTTATGCACTCCGTTTTTTTTTCGTGTTGTTCAATCTTAAGTTTTGTATCTTCTACTTGTTTTACATCAGCTTCGTCAATCTCGATCACGTGATCTCAATCAAAAATTTATTCTAAAACCAATGAATTACATGTAAATAAAGGCAATAGTTGTAGTTTACCGATGTTCAAAATTCAAAAGTCAAATCAAGGGCAACAAACAAAAACCGAGAGAATCGCGAAAGGAGCGAGACCTGGTGCACTGACTGGGCAAGTTTCTCCTGCTATGTATGCATCACTAGCCACGCGAATCCACAATCCACGCTCAGTCGAAATTTCACAATCCGGAAAAGGACACATTCGGTAAAATAACAGATCAGACTATGTAAATATTATCGCAAAGAAGGAATGCTTAATTTAGTTTGACGACGTCATTTGTTTACTTCTTTTTTATCAAGAATTTAAGCGTTCCCATAATGCTTTTTAAATGAAATACATGTAACAATGATCCATCGTATTCTTGGTTTGTACAGACGTACAATACAGACCAACAGGTACCAGATTCTGCTGGAACTGCAACAGCATTCCTCTGTGGTGTTAAATCAAAGGCTGGTACAGTAGGAGTAGACGATAAAGTTCAATATTCCAACTGTTCGACAGTTCAAGGAGCGGAAGTGACGTCGATCTTAGACTGGTCTCTGGCTGAGGGAAAATCAGTTGGATTAGTTACTACCACAAGAGTTACCCATGCGACTCCTGCAGCTGCGTATGCCCACGCACCAAGGCGTTCCTGGGAAGGAGATACCCGACTAGATAGTACCCAAAAAGGTTGCACTGATATTGCTTATCAGTTGATAAAAGACAATCCGGATATTCAGGTTTCGTTTTAAATTCCATTGTTTTTAATAGATATTCATTGATCGTTGTTTTTAAAAATAAAATTTATTTGACTTCGTTCCCATGGGTATCAATATCTGTTCCAAGATAAATAGGGAAACAGCAAGAAGATAAACGGTTATCGAAAAAGGTCCGACGGCTCAAGGTGAAATAAATTAGGCGTATTTTATGTCTGACATAAGACAGCCGACGAGGTCTTTTCTAATGTTAATGTATTTGGTCTACACAAATACAACAGAAAACTTATAATGGGCAGCGTGTTGCCTAAGACAATCCTTAAATCGATTCACACGTTCGCGTGTATTGATAATATTCCAACATCATTGGTTGTCTTTGTAAATCATTTGGAAATTCGCCGCATTTAGTAATGATGGCAGATCTTTGATGGTATCTGTTTAATTTATTTACAATTTTTGGTATCGTTGGGTTGCCGCCTCATTGACGTATACCTCAAATCTTTTGCTATTCATCTTTAAATAAATGTTATTCATCTTCATTTTCAAAGTGCAAAAAAATATACATGTCACAAATCATTCACATTAAGAATTACGATTACGTGTATTGTCGTTTCTTCTTCTTTCAATTTTACTTAATACTTTTATCAACCACAACATTATTTTAGGTAATATTGGGTGGTGGAAGGCGCTTCTTTCTATCGGAAAATGAAACAGACCCCGAATTAAACTATACTCACAGCTACCAAAGACGGGATACCAGTCTAGTGCAGGTAAACCATTTTTTTTCTTATTTTTTAAATTTAAATATGATGATACGGTTAGTCATACACTTTGCTGATGTCTCGAAACAACAACATTTTCTTCCAGATATTCGCAACTTTTGAAGTGCGAATACCAATTTTAAGATATACACTCAATCATAATGAACTCACTTATCTAGTTTATAACCGCTAATTTCAGTTTTCCAATGACGAGAACTTTCCATTTTTATGAACAACATCTAGCAAGAAAAGAAGAAGTTTATTTTCCGTTAAGGATGTACTTAGGTCAGGTTTAGGAATTTTTGTCAGATGTGCGATACAGGGTAAAATATTTTGCCCAATAACACCCAATTTTCTTTTCATATAAGACTTTAATAGCTCATAAAAGGTCATTTACTAAAATTTAAGCAGATTCTAGATTTCTTTTTTTTATTTCAGACCCAAATAATACCAATGCAAATATAAGGAAAAAGTCCGAGTCAGCCATTTCCCGCAATTTAAAAAAAAAAAATAATATCTCGAAAAGGAGTTCCATAACTTATCAATATTTTTAGCATATTTTGTTCCTTAACTAATGCTCTTCTGACTTATAGTATCAATTTTTAATTCTAGATTTTTTTAATTTCACCTAAGAACATCCTTAAATGGGCCCACAAGAAACATATATAATGATAATCTATATCTCCAAGTTGATACTGTATTGATGAACTTGCATTTCTAACAGGATAAATTCCACAAGCACTTGTTTCTGAAAAAAATACACTTGTTTATTAATGTATAAAGGTATTATTTCCGGAGACATTTGCCTGTGGTATATTTCCCTTATACAGTGTGCTGCCTACTAGTATTACAAAGACGCTACTGTTTGATAAAAATAAGGAGATGTGGTATAATTGCTAACCAGATAACTTTCCATAAGAGAATTTGCCTGTTATGGACTGGTATTTTTGTATAACCCGTATTCTGCAATAAGTAATCGACATCAAGCAGAGTTCCGGACTGGTACCGTGGACAGTTTTTCGTGAACTTGTAATGCTCGAGGTGTGAAATTATAATGAGGTGTGAACATTGCTCATGTGTTGTAAGCTTCACTGCATGTCATTGTGTCAGTAATAGTTATCTCACGAGGACGCGGTGTGTCAGTGTAAGAACACCCCGACGGCCGGAGGGCGGAGGGTGATCTTACACTGACACACCAAGTCCGAGTGGGATAACTATTTTACATCCCATCTCTTCTAGACTATATAAAATAAATGGAGAATGTGTCCCCATGGACACAGATGATGCCCCCGCTTGCATACAACATTATAAAGGGACATAACTCAAGAACAATAAAAGTGACGCTACCCAAATTTGTACTTGATCTGAGTTTTGTGGTAATAAGTATTGCGTAAAGGTTTCATAATGTTTGGTTGGGGCAAACTTAAGTTACAGAACGGAAACTAAAAATTTTGCATTTTTTTCCATTTATAAAGGGGCATAACTCGAGAATGGTTAAAGTGACCCCACCAAAATTCAAACTTGATCTTAATTTTGTGGTAATAAGCATTGTGTATAAGTTTCATAACATTTGGTTGAGGCAAACGTAAGTTAGAAAACGGAAACTAAAAATTTTTGCAATTTTTCTATATATAAAGGGGCATAACTCTAGAACAGTTAAAGTGACGCCACTAAAATTCAAACTTGATCTGTGTTTTGTAGTAATAAGCATTGTGTATAAGTTTCATAATATTTGGTTGAGGCAAACTTAAGTTAGAGAAAGGAAACTAAAAATTTTGTAATTTTTCCATTTATAAAGGGGCATAACTCTACAACAGTTAGAGTGACGCTACCAAAATTCAAACTTGATCTGTATTTTGTGGTAATAAGTTACGGAGGGGACATAAAAACGTTTACGCTTCATAACATCTAGTTCAGAAATCCATACAATAATTATAATATACTTTATATATTACTATATAGTATATATATGGTGTCTGCTGTTTGGTCGGGTTGTTGTCTCTTTGACATATCCCCCATTTCCATTCTCAATTTTATACCCTTTATGAGCCCCGGATACAACGTTTAAATATGTTAAATTAACAGAGAGTTTGTATTCAGTTGTCCTGGTGTAGGGGTATGAATCGTGGCTTCATATGCTAAAGGTCTTGAGTTGAGTTCGATTCCCCGCTTAGACACTGGAAAATTAGTAGATTTTTCTACATAGTTTTGAAAGTTAGTCTTTATTCCGCTTAAATGTATTTAAGTTTTATTGTGTGTTCATCATTCTCGCCAAAATGTTACAGAACAAAAGAAAGCATGCAGAACAAAGAAACTCAAGGTAGGGTGATCTGGTAGGGGTGATCCGACTCAGATCACCTCTGTTAGAACAAAGGAGTTGGGATGTAAACAGCAATAAATTAAAAGCGCCGTTCTTCTGACCATTTCTCGTGTCTACTGTTTATTTTGTTTTAGTACAAGTGTGGACACAGATGAATGTGGATAGTATGTTTGGATGTTTGACAGTGTTTTATATGACAAAAGGAGTTCTATGTTTTTCCTATATGGTGTTATTAACTGTGTTGCACGATGACAACCAACCTGAGCATGAAGAGTGTTGTTTATTTAATATTTAGATTTTATGTTCAAAAGGGCATGGAAGAGACACTAATTGCATTAATTACCAAATGATTATGATAGAATATTTTCCACATCTTTGATTTTGGATACATTTTGTAGCTAGGAGAGCAACACATAATAGGTTCATTTTTTCATGTGATTTTTTTTTAAATGGGAGATGATATCTGAGAACATGATATCAGGAGGCTGTAATTCAATGGTTGTCGTTTGTCTATGTGTTACATAATATTTGTTTTTTGTTTATTTTGTGTACACAAATAACATAAATGACTATTCGTTATGGGCTTTGCTCATTGTTGAAGGCTGTACGGTGACCCGTAGTTGTTAATTTCTGTGTCATTTTGGTCTGTTGTGGAGAATTGTCTCATTGGCAATCATACCACATCTTTTTTATATGTATTTGCTCACTATTTGTATGGTTCTATTTATATTACTTTGAGGTGGATTGTCAGTATCATTAGTAAAATATTTTGTTAAAATGTCGAAATTGTTTCTCAGATTAGAAGACATTTATTGGTTTTTAGTAATGACAATGCCTGACATGATGCTTGGGGCTAGATGAGCTAGAAAGTAAACTTCTGTGCTGTTTTTTATCAATTCTTTGATAACATCTCCTCCAAAGCTGGCCGAAGCAAAAAAAAGTTTTGACCAATATGAAAATGATATCAACAAAAAAACCTTTGTGAGCATGCTTCAAAGACTCATAACTGCTCCAAAAGTAATCTGATAGAATTTCAAGCATGTCAAGTGGCTAAATATAAAAAAAGTTATAGTATTCAATATGAAAAAGGTATTGCAAAATTATTCTCTTTTCAATTTTTTTTGTTATATGGATACAAATATAAGTGATACCAATACAGTATTTGTTGTGGTATGAAAGTGTAGTAGTTAACATTTACTGTAACAATGTTAATTCACACAAATTAAGAAATAAACAAATGAATGAAAAATGTTGAACATGTACAATGAAATATAGTTTTAGAAATCAATTAGGCCAGATAGGCCTTATAAATGTTTTTATTTTTTTAACATACTGAACATCTGAATGACCATTTACACTCAGGTCAGAGTCATCAGTAGGCAGTACAGATGTATTAAAACAACCTAGCATCATATTGCTAGTAGCGAGTGTAGCATTGTCGGGTAAATTTGTTCTTTTTTTTAAATTTGGTTAATGGACAAAAAATGTTTGGTTCAAATCATAATAAAATGCTTTTATCTCCTTATTACTTACATTGTACATAGAATGGATACTACCCTGACAAATCCTTGTACATGAGAGTTGTCTGTCAAATCTTTATTTCACAAAGAATGAATTGCATAACAATGAACTGAGCTCAAAGCAAAGCACTTTAATAATACACTTAGACAAAGAGCTCAATCCAGTGATATACTTTGTACTACAGGTCCTTCATGAACATCCTATCCACCAAAACTATATCCCACAAACATGCCATACTACATGGTTCGATCAGAAGTCCTGAAAAAGACATGAATTTTATTATCATATTTTAATTATATATACACAGGTTAAAAGTTATATACTCCAACGGCAGTCTTTTCTGCTAAAATGTCATGTGTACAATGTGATATACCATTTTTGGGTCTATATGGGTACTGTCCTTTATATTCATTAGGTCATTTTGACACAGCAAAATATATAGAAAATGTTAACTTTGATCTGGAAATTGAGTTCTTTTTCGCAAAATAAACCCACTAAAACTAAACTTTGAATGCAAAAGACCCCTAAATGGCTAACAGATATTGCTATAAAGAATAGTCCATGATGATTATTGTTATTAAAGAGTTCATGAAATGTACACCGATTCTGTCAGTTGAATGGACTAGAATGAGATAAGTTATATAAACATAAAGGTTTTTTCAACAGTTGTGGTGTAAATTAAATCAGTTTTATTTTATGGTTGACATATTTAAGTATATATGTAGATCATTGGCTTTTCAACACATTGATATTTTACAATATCGATTCAACACATTGATATTTTACAATATCGATTATCTATTTATTGTTATATTCTTGGTATTTTTTACCTTCCTAAAACAGTTTTAACGCAACATGAACGCAAGCTTAATAGGGTGTCCTCACATATTTTGAGGTTGCTGAAAAATTTTGGTTGACATGTATCCTCTTCTCATCGTTTTTCGTGCTATTAAGAATGCATACTGTCTCCACAATTTCCATTGAAAAGGCATGCATAGTACAAATTCATATGACGTACGAAAACATATGATCTGACCATGTACATGTATGTATAGGTTATCAGCTTTTCTACACATATTAGCCAGTAAGCCGCAATTAACCTATTATGGAGAGTGAGCGCAGCTAACGAGCTAAAATGAATCAAATTGTGTCCTCAGTGGGGGATATTTTAAGGGATCTATATGAAGAAAACCTGATCATCTGTTTATCGTTCTATTACTGGCTTTTTCACCTCCCTAACTTGGCCTAAGACAGTTTTTACAGACGAAAGCTTGATAACTACTCCTCACACACATGTATAGATTATTGTAAAATGTTAGCCAGTGAGCAGGCCTGCAATGAACCTTTTTAGCGAGTGAGCCCAGCTAATGAGCTAAAATGAATCAAATTATGTACTCAGTCACAGTTGGTGATATTTTAAGGTATCTACACAAAGAAAACCTGCTTATATAAATCTCAGTGGCGGATCCACAACTTTTCATAAAAGGGGGGTGGCCGCTGACTGACCTAAGGGTTACCCACTCCCGTCATGCTTCCCCAGTGGCAGATCCGAAGGGAGGGTTCCGAGGGTTGTAACCCCCCTTTCTTGGACGATCAATGCATTTGAATGGGGACACATAGTTGGAACACCACCCCCTTTGTCCCGAGTTGGGAACCTCCCTTTTATAAAATGGCTGGATCCGCCCCTGCTTCCCTATAAAATCAACCAAATTTTCCCCACCCCCTGGATCCGTCTATGTAACTGTTTATCGTTCTGCGTAATACTGGCTTTTTCACCTCCCTTACTTGGCCCTAGACAGTTACTTATCTGTTTATCGACAATATCGTTCTGTCACTGGCTTTTTTTTAGACTAGAGACTTCATGTGTACAAACCTGACGTCAAACTCGTATACTATAAAAGAAGAGACAAATAATTTCACATTAAATCCTGTAACATTACATCTAAAGATAATAATCCAAAGTAAATTATATTACGATGTCAATGGACTAAATTCCCGCGCAAATGTCATCACTGGGATAGACCAAAACGAATTTTAGGTTTATGTATCATTCACATTCCGATCAATTTACTCAGTTAAATGAAATATATGTGTTAACGATTTTTATATTGGTTTTGAATTTAGTTAATCTATCAGAAAAAATGATTTATTTCTCGCAGACAGCCCTCAATACTATACACCAACTCGACACTGAAGCTAAAAAACCCTAAAACATAATAGTATATGGAATCGTCCAAACGGATTACCTAATATTGATATAGGTGAAATATGTAGATTCAGAATTGTGTACACAGAAATAAGATCAGAAATAAAGCCCTCTGTAAGGTGAAAACAATAACACAACTGCATAAAATCATTGTTTATTAAATTTGCTTGCATAAGAACCATGAAGTTAAAATTTATAACGATTACGTTTGTCCTGTCAACCCCTTTTCTTCATTGCACCAAGGCTTCCGTTGCTTTACATCGAGCAGCACAGTAGGACAACCGGAAGCGCCTGAGTATTGATTTCGGTGCTCAGTGATACGGTTCACTAGACGACGTTGTCAACACGTAATGGCGGCCATTGTTTGACGTTGGATTTGGCATTCCACGCTGTAAAGATGCATTTATGACATTCTTGGATGCTAAAACTTAATGCCACACAACATAAAAGGTAAAGGATTATTTCAGATATACCGAGTTAATTATTTTCTAATAAGTGGGATCCCAAAAAATGATTTAAACGGCAAAAATAAAGTGTAAAATTATATGAAACATGAAAATTGCAATTCCATTTTTCATCATTTCCTTTTCATATATTGAAATAATGAATACACTATTTACACCAACCACTGGTGAATTATATTCGGATTTCGGATTTCGGTCTTAGGTATCCGTCCTTGTCTCCGGGAATATTATACCCACACAAGTTGTCAACATCCGTTTTCAAACTGTTGAAAGTGTTCTTCACCATCTCCCTGGAAAATATTAACGCTATCACTTCGTGCTCAGATAATACAACATTGTTAACCTCTAACAGCAAATACGGACCAAAATTAATCAAATTTGAAAGCACGGATGATCACGTGTAATGCCGACTGTAAGTGTAAGTTCTCTAAAAAAAAGGGGGGGGGGGCAATTTCTCCCCCAAATACACATGAATTTTGCTGACCGTCTCAAATTCAACTTAAAAGTCCAATATCAAATCAGAGGCGCCCCCCCCCCTTTTGTGGGAAAAATTTGGTTGATTATATAGGGAATCACTGATGCATGACTGGAGCGGGCCCCCTCTTATTAAAATTTCTGGATCCGCCACTGCAAATCATTAGAATGTAAGACATATTCACTTCAACTGTTGGATATTTTATAGCTGGTCTACTATTAATAGATTCGTCCCATTTCATATACACCAAAATTTAATATTTAAAAAAACTTTCATTATTATATTTACATATAATACTAAGGGAAATCAATCACAAGCACTTGTTTCTGTCAATGGGGGGTTCACTATCCATACCCATACGAATCTTTTTATTTTTATGTGGGTGGGTGGGTACAAGGAATTGTATATTTAAATATACAATTCCTTGGTGGGTAGGAGGAATTTAAGGGGACATTATATCCATCTTCTTATTTTACTATTATGGCTTATTAATTTTTTTTCAATCTGTACACAATTATTCTTTCCTTTTTTATTGGACAGAATATTCATGTTCATCCTGTGTCATCACTCTTGTCAGAGCAATGTTTATTTTATGTTCGGTTATTACCATGATTACATGGACATGTACCAGATCCTTCCCATAAAAAAATTATTTAAGATAGCCATCCTCTAAATCATAACTCTGAAATTATAAAAGAAATTTACACATTGAAATTAACCAATCACCCACCCATTTGAAAAGCTTGTACACATGCTGCTTTGCATTACATGAATCCCCATAAACTAATAATTTACAATTTCTTTATACATGTTATATCTGACATGTTATATTCTTCCAATGATTATATACACAATCTAATTAGAAATGATAATCCATTAACAATATTACTTTCTCAAACTTCATTAATATTGTCAAATTCAAGGTGTCAATTTAGGACAATACAGTCATGACAGTAGTGGTTCCAGGATTTAAATTAAAATGAAACTGGGTTGTGAGTGCCCCCAAAATGTATAAAATTTCAGCTTGCATTGTATAATAGACATGTTATGATCTTATGATGTTTATGCAAACTATTAAATATAAAAATGTTATCAAAAGGTTTGGTATAACATAAATTTGCTCCTTGTTAAACCTAAAAATTATTTTTCAAGACTTTTGAAATGTTTTCTTTGTCTGAAACTTTTATGTACATGTATTGAGCAAAAAATACTGGGGGCATAATTATCTATAATACTTAATGAATACATGTACATGTATTTTCTTGGTAATTTATTTTGCAAATTTGTATACATGTGTTGATAATAACAATGCAAAGTTTAATTTTGCTTTGAATAATTTAGTAAATGAACATTAATAGTAATTGTATGTAAATTTGCTTTATATTTACAGGATGGAGAAAGATGTTCACTATGGATCAAAAATTCAAAACAGAGGACCTTTTTATTCAAACAAAAATACTTGTACATGTATGATATTCTGTACATACAACAAGAAAACAGTAATCAAATGGAATGTCCAGTGATGTTGAAAGCAAAATTATTTTTGTTAACAGTAAACAATAGGACTACAATATATTAAGGGTAAGTAATCCAAAATTGTCTGTTTTAATAGGGTTACAAAAGTGGGTTATTGACAATGTGCTATGCCAATTTCAATCCCCCAAATATGAAACAAAAACATAATATACATGGTATTTAAACTGTTTTCATAAGGAAACAGACTGAAAATATTCTGCATTTAACAGTCAGACATGAAAGTTGCCAATGTAATAAATTGGGACTGGAACTTCAAATTTATAGGATATAGGCCAAGGAATCATTCAGACTTTAAGGTCAAATGGTATACTTTTAAAAGTTTAAAGATTTTATTCTATTATCTATGCTGTATAAATGTCAATACTGTTTCATTTGGATTTAAAACCTAATTTCAAGAATGAAGGGTACAGTAATTTAAAATTAATTTAAATGATTAAAAACAATACAAGGGCAGTAACTCTTCCAAGATGTGCATTATATCCTAATGAAGTGTTTTATTGAATTTGTCCATTTTTTTCAAATAAGAGAATGACTTAACATGCTTAAGCAGACTGTATTGGGGTCATAGATGGACTTAACAATGAAATACAACATATTATAATTATCATTCTTCATTACATTTTCATTGAATTAACAAACTTAATTTAATAACAAAATATTTTCTTTTTTCAGTACACAACACATCGTGTCAGAAGAATAATTTTACTGGAGGATAAAAAAATTTAATACCTGGAATCAGCAATTTACAAAATGTATATGAAATTTATTAAGAGAGATATATTCATGTACAGAATGGTAACCCCACCAAATAACTCGGGTGGTTCAAGTGATTATTAGCAGACATTTTTGTTGAACTAATGCAGGATTAAATAAATGAAGCTTTAGCAGACTATGGGCTCCAAAGTGTAGTAAAAAGAGGATTTTTAAATATGACAGACTCATAAACATTAAAATGTGCATAAGTGAAATGTTACAATATTTAGTAAAAAAATCAGATTATTGACTCAGTTGTTTTCATGAAATTTTTTATCAAAGCAATATCACTGTTATATAATTAATAAGATTCCATATGTTTTATTTTACCGCTATACTTTTGACAACCGAATATATCTTCCCTCAGCTCTGGCCTCAAGTGTACCCCTTTTATTTTGTATAAGTGTAATTTACAGAAAGCTCACTTTGCTTTTGGCGAATTCAAGTTTTGCCTTTCTAGAATTATTGGACTTTATTCATGGAAAATTATACATTTGCCCATATGTTGTAGAAGAACTCAATTTTGCTTTAATACTTTTTCAAGAAATTGTATCACAAGGCTAGATTTGATCAAATAATCTCACTTTTGAATATTTATCACATATCACATACTTAAATAATCTAGTATGCTAAGATTGATTTCCTTCACTTTTGCCCTGTTGTTGAGATTGAGTGAAATAATTTAATTATTTTATCCCTATCAATTTGGGGTTGCCTGGGGATCTGTGACCCATTGGGACCGGCATTTAACACTGCATAACTATATCCTATCACAAGTTATGATACAGCCAACCATATAACATAACTCCTGCCACTGAAAGGAGAAAAGAGGTGCACAACATACAAACAAATATTTCATATGGCTAGCTTCATTGTATCCTTTGAATATTTCATTGATTTTTTGTCAGTAGTTATTTATTAAAGGTATTACAGTTCCCTTTCAGTTTGCCTGCTTAAGACTTGATTACAGTTCCAATATAAAAATAAGAAGTTGGGGTATGATTGCCAATGAGACAACTCTCCACCAGATACCTTATGACGAAAAGGTTAATAAATATATGTATAGGTCTCTGACAGCCTTCATCAATGAGCAGAACCAATAACGCATAGTAAGCTACATGTATAAAAGGTCCCTAAATAACATGACACAATAGAGGCTGAAAATGAATATTCTGCATCAGTGAGTATGCAAAAGTGAAAATATACATGTATTTAGAAAGAAATGCATGTGTACCAATGGATGCAAATAAAAAGTCAATCCAGAAAAAAAATCCTACTACCTCACACATTATGGCTTATGCAGTTTATTCACTAAATTGTCAACAAACTTTTACATACTTCAACTAATTTACATTAAACCTGGGAACAGTATATAGCTGTCAATATATGTTCGTGATTAAACAAGACAAAATAAAAGAAAAGAACAGGGCGAAAGGACCCAGAGCGAACAAGTACTAGTGCGAACAGACCAGGATTCCCTTCCCACCACCTACCTAGAATAGCAAATGGTCCTCCCCATATGCATAGATATATTAATACTAGTCTAATATAGTCATTATACATGTACATGTTATACCAATGCCCTGAGAAACTGCACATTGAATTTTTAAAAAGTAAAGTCATGAAGAGTTTAAACCAACACTGCAAACCAGAAATTAAGAATCAATAAAATGACACATGCCTTTGACAAAATTACCCCCCCCCCCCCTTTTTCAAAAAAGAAACAAAACAAAACACATAACGATAACTGTATTAACTTAAGGAAACTTATGAAAAAAACCGACAGCTTTTCTATGGCCTATTCAGATTAGATGTTCATTAAAAACTCATCGGCCGGTAACATACTAACAATATTCACGAAATAAATATGGATTGATCAACGAAGTACGATATCAACAAATCAATCCCATGGCCATGATGATGTAGGCCTAAAACTGTTTATTTACAAAGCAAGGGCTGTTTTTAGTATAACGTTAATATGAATTCAACATATCGCATGACTTCCTTGGCATTCAGATTATGAGATAAACAAAATTGCTACAAAGAAGTAAAGAATCCAACTTTTAATGACATTTACGTTGACATTTCTGGCGCCGGAAATTGACAACGTTGGTCTATATATATATACTGACACAACATCGGTTGAGGTCGATTCCGGCAATTCTGCTTCTAAAAATCTCTAGCAGTTAGAATTTATTGATGTCTTAAAATATATTTGTTATGTTTCAATAAATTTTAGTGGATAATTATTTTTGAGAGAAGAAAAGCTATCGTGTACTTCAGAAATAAGGTTTAGGGAGGACCACGCCCCCATAGTGGGGAACATACAAAATAAAGATGACCGTTCTCCATTTCTACTCGATAGAAGTGCCTAATTTTTTCATAACATTTACATTATGTACCAAAGATAATTATATGAAAGTATAAAAAAAATCGAGGCGGAGATTTTTTAGAAACGGCTAATAATTATAGCAGACCAATTGACGTAATAGATAAAAAGACGAAAATGGCGCCTTCTTCAATTTCGAAAAAAATCTATTATTTTACAATTTATTGACACATATTGTTATTTTTAAAGGGGTTTAATATCTATTGATTCACTTTTCCATGAGAATTGAATGAATATTTACTTTAAAAACAGAAACTCTTCCAATTTCTAAATCTACCGACCATGCAAGGAAAAACCTATAAAAAATTGCGACCCCTACATTAAATGGGAACAAATTTTTGCCCTGGCTTGAACACTCACGTTCTTTACGAATTTCGATGCCAAAAACTAGCGAGAATATGATGTAGAAATTTTTTAAAAATCGAAGGATAGGTATTTTTTTGTTCCCATTTTTAATATTGGCATTTTATCCTACAGTGTAGAAAATCAATATCCGAAATTCTATGTTCAGATATAAAAAAACGAGATTTCCGTTTATTTTAATGTTCAAAAAAGAAAATAATATGTAAATTCATATATTTTTCTCATATAGATTTGCTTACAATCAACAATATTTATCGTCGGTACTTTGCCGCAAACGAACGAAAAAAAATTACAAAAGCGCGCCATTTTTCAGTTGACGTCGGCCGACGCAAAATAGTCCAATTTTCGGCGTAGGACTACTGAGCGCCGCCGAATCACATTTTGGCCAAAAAGGCACATCCGGTTGTCCTACTGGCAATTCAACCAATCGGGGAATGTTAAGTTGGGACATACCTCTATTTTTGGAAGCGTGATCTTTACATCGAGGCTTGCGTTGCTTTACACCGAGGCCACAGTAGTTCGACCAATCGGGGAATGTTTATTTGGGGTATGTGACCTATTGAACTGCAGGTTTTATAATATTTCAATCGAAATTGTAGAAAAATGAATTGTTGTTAGTACATACAACACAGAAAATGATGAATACTTTTAGTAAAAGATAATTTGGATCCGGGTTCTGTGTATTCACATCATTTGTACAACTCTCCTTACTGATGCCATTTTTTGGAATTTCTGTGACCTAAATGGTTCGCGAAAATTAATATTTTAGTATATATATAGTAATAATAATCGTCATGCTGTGTATAATACTGAGATTCATCAAAAATAAAAACGGTTCATTATGTAAAGGATGTAAAAAGAACTTTTTTGTGAGGTGGGATGTGGAGGTAAACATAAAGGTAGTGCTACTAAAATTACTCCATGTACGAAAATCATGCTAGTTAAAGCACCAAACTCCAAAAAAGGTCATCTATAATCATTGTCTGTTAGGTTCGTTTGAATAAGATTATCATTTGCCTGATATCAGAAAGTAAAAAATTACATGATACATGTATTAAAAATATATGGCTAAAGTAACCTTATTTAGAGGCAACAACTGTCGCTCATCCTTGGGGAATCACAATCTAGGAGACAGACTTGTTTTGGCTATCGACACAGCGATTAGAAATGCGTTGACTTTGTTAAGTTCTTACATAAGTAATTTTATTTAGTCGAGATACATAACTATGTCATTTTCAGGAATGGATACAAGATAAACAAAACAGAAATAAGACCCATGCATACGCTTGGAGAAAAGAGGAATTTGATGCTATTAACCCAGATAATACAGACTTTGTCTTGGGTATGTTTCATTATATCAATTATGGTTGTTTTGAAGGTATTTTGTGATGTGTATAAACTCTGCATTTGACTCACAAAAAGATGTTGACTCCTTTGCGTCTTTTTGTTACTGTTGTCGTAGTATTGCTGTCTCATTGCCACTATTGATATCATTTATTGCTCGTGTTTATGTTTGTTTTCGTTTTCTATTTTCCCATTGTTGTATCAGACAGCTATCCTTCAAAGATGTAAACAGCTATAGTATAACAACAAGGAAATTTTTTATAATAGCCAATCAGACAACTGGAAACGAGTTTATTATAGTTCTCAGCCTTTTCTGATCGGATCTAAATTATGAATAAAAGTTGACGTGGGCTCCGTCAATAAGACAACAGCTCAATGCAGAAAATACCAAAATTCATCTAGAGGACACCAAGCAACCTTCAACAATAGACAAGTGAATATATAATACGTCCTGGATCCACGTATATTTTTTTCATTGGCAATATATAACACTTGTGCATTTATCACAATCGTCAGAATACATAAAGGCATTAATTGGAATTCACGGTCACTCCTTATCATTATAGGTAAACATGCATCTAATCGTTTTGATAAAGTAGACATTTTTTTTCTTTTTTTTGATTTGTTTTTATATATTCTATTATTAATTATCTTTATTTTTTCCCCAACAAACCAAATTACATTGGTATACACACAATAACTATTACATAATATATATGTACAGACATACAAAAGTTGTACGAAAATAATCTTATCTTACAAGATAAGATTATTAATTCGACAATGACAATTTCACAATAAAATTTATACCATAAATATAAATATTTTGCATATATTAGTTGTATAGGTCTATAGAATCGTCCAATTTGATATTATATTTGCATGTATAGGTCTGCTTGAATTGTCCTATTTGATATTATATTTGTATAGGCGTGTTTGAATTATCCCAAATGGAGTATAATCTTGTTTCGTTGATATTATATTTGTATAAGCGTGTTTGAATTATCCAATATGGAGTATAATAGGTCTGTTTGAATCGTCTCATATGATATGATATTTGTATAGGTCTGTTTGAATCGTCTCATATGATTTTATATTTGTATAGGTCTGTTTGAATCGTCTCATTTATCATGTGTGTAAAGGTCTGTTTGAATCGTCTCACATGATATTATATTTATATAGGTCTGTTTGAACCTATACATTTCTAGGAATATGATTGGTTAAAAGCAACCGCGTGGAGACCGTGTATATTTCATATGGGGTTAGTAGGCGGGGCTTATTTCAATACACGGTTAGTAATGGTGTTACGTCCCTTTATAAAAACAACACGGTGTTGAGGAAAAATCTAAAAGGTTTCAACAGACGAAGAAATTGATGATGAACGATTGAAACAAATTCATAAAACAAATTTAAAGCTAACAAGTTTTTACTGTTGGCATTTGTTTTTGTATAGACCAATTGAAGTAGGATATTAATACTAAGTATTGAAGACTTGATCACTTTGATAGGCCACTAGTCTTAACACCACATGTTAAGATAGTCGGTAAGATAAATTCGTTACACAGTGTGCCAGTGACCTAATACGATATATATGGGGTCAGTAAATTCCATATGGGGATTCGCTCGAATCCCCATATGGAATTTACTGACCCCATATATATCGTATTAGGTCACTAGCATACCATGTAACTAATAATATTTGTATAGGTCTGTTTGAATCGTCCCATATGCAATATGAGCATGAACGAGATACAACATCAAATGGAGAACCATCTTTACAAGACATGACAATAAAAGCTCTAGAGATTCTAAGGAGAAACACAAATGGATATTTTCTACTAGTTGAAGGTATTTTGTAAAGACTTATGATAATTTTACCCTGTATTTACTAGTATTTCCTTTCAAAGACTATCGGAATTTGGTGAATTCTAATGAAATTTTAATATCTAAAAAATATGCTGTTAATTATTAGTATTTTACAACGTTTTACAACTACTGTGTGGAAAGTTAAAATAAAAAAGACAATTAAAAATTAAAAACGGAACAAACTGAGTACAATTTTCATAACATTTAACAAACCGTACATATGTTTTTTATAATTTTGTATTATAATTTTTTAAACCAAAACGGATATATATATACAATGTTTTTAATTGAAAGATAACTTCGATAGAAATTTTGTTTTATCTTAAATATTCAATTTCTTCCTCTGCATTTTAAATATAACTCTATAAATCTTAGTTTTTTATCCAGCTTTATACATTCACAATTAAATTCAATGTTCTGAAATATATGTTATAATATATTCAGAATATAAACCAGTTAGACTGTTTATAATCAGTAATTACTTATTTTTCAAATTATAGCTATCCATTAAATAAAAACAGGGTCATATTTCTTTATGCAGGTAAACGAAGATACAACACATTACGTAACAAGAATAGTTTTAATATTCAAGGACGATATCAGTGCGCCTGCATTGTAATGTTCAAATATATTTGGCTGATTTGTTTAAAGCACTTTTATGTATTATGCACTCAAACCTTTTAACTTTTAGTCACGTGCATACCCGAAGAATGTTTTGCAAGAAACACGTGTTTAAGTACGAAAATCATATGATTTGTTTGTTTATAGGTGGGCGAATAGACCATGGTCATCACGGTACATATGGTCGGCGGGCTTTGGAAGAAACTGTAATGTTTGATAAAGCTGTTTCGTCGGCTATTGATATGACGTCAGAAAGGGACACATTGATAGTGGTGACTGCTGACCATTCACATGTATTTGCTATGGGAGGTTATCCAACAAGAGGAAATGATATACTTGGTATAATATCACTTCGATAAAGTGTACCTCCATTCGATTAGAGTTATCCCTCTTTGCTTTATGGCCGTGAAAAACAAAAGTGATAGGTTTTTTTTCATAACTCCACTCCAAATGAGGTGATACACTGGTTTACCTGTGTCCGTCTTGTCTTGTATCAACTAATCATTACACATTCCTGTCTCATTTTCTTAGCAACTATAAGTATACTTCTTCTGTATGATGATTTTTAACGTTTTGGAGTTTTTTTTAATAAATATTTGTCTATTTTATGTCAAAGTTTTGAATTGTTTTGTATTACCTTGTTCAATTGTTGTTGATTACAATCCTATATTGAATTCTAAAGCAATAAGTTAATTCTTTATAATTTTTAATTAATATTTCCTTATGGTATGTAATGAACAGATTTTTTTTAATGATTTACCGTAATTATAAGGAATTTAGACGGTAATATTACCGTAATTGGAAGGAACTTAGCCGGTATTATTTACCGTAATTATAAGGAACTTAGTCGTAGTTGTTAAGATTCAATGTATATTTTAAGGTTTGGTGGAAAACGACATAGCAGATGATGGAATGCCATATACATCTCTTGTGTATGGAAATGGAAGGGTTCAAAGGGAAAATCTCACAGGAGTGAATACAAGTAAGTTCATTAAGACAAAGTGATTTGGTTACATTTGGTGAAATAAACGTATATAAAAAAGGGAGATATCAAACAATGAGGATTTTGAGAAGAAACGTAAGGGATAATTGTTTAAATTCACTTAGTTTGATTTACTCTTTAAACAAGTCAATCAGAAGATTCTTGAGTTTTTCCTTAATGTAAAGCACAAAACGGTTGACGGGAGAGTCTTGAAAAGTAGTCAATGGTAAAGATCTTCAGATTGCTTGCCAGCAATCTTATCCCCAAAACTCTACCTTCTCACTACAATTTTGATACATAGCCTAGCACTGGCTTGAATGGATGTCTTTGCTTTAGATCGAACACGCTACATCCGTGCACCGCAGAACATAGCTGCAGGGCAATATCAACAAATTGTTAATTATATCTGGCAAAGAAATCTAACAATACTGTCATAAATTGCCCGACATTCTAATGGTAAAATACAAAACAAATGCAGACATACCGAGGTGTATCTGACGAAATGATAGGATGATAAAGGTGAGGTTTTCAAAATAACGGCATTGTGTAAGATTCAATATATGTTTGTAACCATTCGACAATAGTTTAATGAAAATAAATATTTTCCATAATATGCCACAAGGAATCTTTCCTATAATATTAATATATATTAAACCTCGTTTTGGTAAAAGGAATGTTGAACCTTTCCCAAAATCAAGAGTTCTATATCTTAACTGTATCCTTCGGGAAGCCAGCTGAGATTTTTAAAATCTTTAGCCCTTTCATTTAAACAGAAATAGAAATAGTTGTTGAATTTAATGACACGAGTCCTTCTTTCATATAGATAAACATATTTTATCTTTGAATGAAAATTATGGAAAGAAATTGACACTCGTTAGTAGTTTTTATAGTTAGACACTGTTTTCCAAATAATTATTATTATTAATTTCAGGAGATTTCAACTACAGACAGACGAGTGCTGTGTACATGTCTTCAGAAACCCATGCAGGGGAGGACATTCCTGTTTATGCCAGAGGTCCAATGTCTCACTTGTTAACTGGAACACACGAACAGAATTACATTCCTCATGTTATGGCATATGCTGCCTGTGTGGGACGCAATAAAAACCACTGTAAACGGACTTTAACATCGGATTCGCTAAATCTGAAGCATAGCATTACACTATTGTTTTCTCTTTATATACTTAAAATATCGATTGTTTAAATCAAATCATTGTATGTGTCCATTGTCTTTCTAAAAGTAAATAACAATTATATATAGTCAATCAATAATAAAACTTTTAAAAGAATGCAAATGAAATTATTTGTGTTTGAGTAAAAGAACACATTCAGGTATAATTATTGTCTTGGATGTCATCGGTAAACTATCTGTGTTGGAATATGACACCACATTCAGGTATAATTATTGTCTAGGGTGTCATCGGTAAACTATCTGTGTCGGAATATGAGACCACATTCAGGTATAATTATTGTCTAGGATGTAATCGGTAAACTATCTGTGTTGGAATATGAGACCACTTCAGGTATAATTATTGTCTAGGATGTCATAGGTGAACTATCTGTGTTGGAATATGAGACCACATCATGTTATAATTATTGTCTAGGCTGTCATCGGTAAACTATCTGTGTCGGAATATGAGACCACATTCAAATATAATTATTGTCTAGGTTGTCATCGGTAAACTATCTGTGTTGGAATATGAGACCACATCCAGGTATATAATTATTATCTAGGATGTCATCGGAAAACTATCTGTGTCGGAATATGAGACCACACTCAAATATAATTATTGTCTAGGGTGTCATCAGTAAACTATCTGTGTCGGAATATGAGACCACATTCAGGTATAATTATTGTCTAGGATCTCATCGGGAAACTATCTGTGTTGGAATATGAGACCACATTCAAATATAATTATTGTCTAGGGTGTCATCGGTAAACTATCTGTGTCGGAATATGAGACCACATTCAGGTATAATTATTGTCTAGGATGTCATCGGTAAACTATCTGTGTTGGAATATGAGACCACATTCAGGTATAATTATTGTCTAGGATGTCATAGGTGAACTATCTGTGTTGGAATATGAGACCACATCATGTTATAATTATTGTCTAGGATCTCATCGGTAAACTATCTGTGTCGGAATATGAGACCACATTCAGGTATAATTATTGTCTAGGATCTCATCAGTAAACTATCTGTGTTGGAATATGAGACCACATGCAGGTATAATTATTGTCTAGGATGGCATCTGTAAACTATCTTGTTGGAAGATGAGACCACATTCAGATATAATTATTGTCTAGGATGTCATCTGTAAACTATCTTTGTTGGAATATGAAACCACATTCTAGGATGTCATCGGTAAACTATCTGTGTTTGAAGATGAAACCACATTCAGGTATAATTATTGTCTAGAATCTCATCGGTAAACTATCTGTGTTGGAATATGAGACCACATTCAGGTATATAATTATTATCTAGGATGTCATCGGTAAACTATCTGTGTCGGAATATGAGAGCACATTCAGATATAATTATTGTCTAGGATGTCATCTGTAAACAATCTGTGTTGGAATATGAAACCACATTCTATTCTAGGATGTCATCGGTAAACTATCTGTGTTTGAATATGAGACCACATTCAGGTATAATTATTGTCTAGGATCTCATCAGTAAACTATCTGTGTTGGAATATGAGACCCCATTCAGTTATAATTATTGTCTAGGATGTCATCTGTAAACTATCTGTGTCGGAATATGAGACCACATGCAGGTATAATTATTGTCTAGGATGTCATCTGTAAACTATCTGTGTTGGAATATGAGACCACATTCAGGTATAATTATTGTCTAGGATGTCATCGGTAAACTATCTGTGTTGGAATATGAGACCACATTCTAGGATGTCATCAGTAAACTATCTGTGTTGGAATATGAGACCACATCATGTTATAATTATTGTCTAGGGTGTCATCGGTAAACTGTCTGTGTTGGAATATGAGACCACATTCAACAATTATTGTCTAGGATCTCATCGGTAAACTATCTGTGTCGGAATATGAGACCACATTCAGGTATAATTATTGTCTAGGTTGTCATCGGAAAACTATCTGTGTTTAAACATGAGACCACATTCAGGTATAATTATTGTCTAGGATGTCATCGGTAAACTATCTGTGTTGGAATATGAGACCACATCATGTTATAATTATTGTCTAGGGTGTCATCGGTAAACTATCTGTGTTGGAATATGAGACCACATTCAACAATTATTGTCTAGGATCTCATCGGTAAACTATCTGTGTCGGAATATGAGACCACATTCAGGTATAATTATTGTCTAGGATCTAATCAGTAAACTATCTGTGTTGGAATATGAGACCACATGCAGGTATAATTATTGTCTAGGATGGCATCTGTAAACTATCTTGTTGGAAGATGAGACCACATTCAGGTATAATTATTGTCTAGGATGTCATCTGTAAACTACCTGTGTTGGAATATGAGACCACATTCAGGTATAATTATTGTCTAGGATGTCATCTGTAAACTATCTGTGTTGGAATATGAGACCACCTTCAGGTATAATTATTGTCTAGGATGTCATCTGTAAACTATCTGTGTTGGAATATTAGACCACATTCAGGTATTATTATTGTCTAGGATGTCATCTGTAGACTATCTGTGTTGGAATATGAGACCACATTCAGGTATAATTATCGTCTAGGATGTCATCTGTAAATTATCTGTGTTGGAATATTAGACCACATTCAGGTATAATTATTGTCTAGGATGTCATCTGTAAACTATCTAAGATGTCATCTGTAAACTATCTGTGTTGGAATATAAGACCACATTCAGGTATAGTTATTGTCTAGGATGTCATCTGTAAACTATCTGTGTTGGAATATGAGACCACATTCAGGATTAATTATTGTCTAGGATGTCATCGGTAAACTATCTGTGTTGGAATATGAGACCACATTCAGGTATAGTTATTGTCTAGGATGTCATCTGTAAACTATCTGTGTTGGAATATTAGACCACATTCAGGTATAATTATTGTCTAGGATGTCATCTGTAAACTATCTGTGTTGGAATATGAGACCACATTCAGGTATAGTTATTGTCTAGGATGTCATCGGTAAACTATCTGTGTTGGAATATGAGACCACATTCAGGTATAATTATTGTCTAGGATGTCATTGGTAAACTATCTGTGTTGGAATATGAGACCACATTCAGGTATAATTATTGTCTAGGATGTCATCGGTAAACTATCTGTGTTGGAATATGAGACCACATTCAGGTATAATTATTGTCTAGGATCTCATCAGTAAACTATCTGTGTTGGAATATGAGACCACATGCAGGTATAATTATTGTCTAGGATGGCATCTGTAAACTATCTTGTTGGAAGATGAGACCACATTCAGGTATAATTATTGTCTAGGATGTAATCGGTAAACTACCTGTGTTGGAATATGAGACCACATTCAGGTATAATTATTGTCTAGGATGTCATCTGTAAACTATCTGTGTTGGAATATGAGAGCACATTCAGGTATAATTATTGTCTAGGATGTCATCGGTAAACTGTCTTGTTGAAATATGAGACCACATTCAGGTATAATTATTGTCTAGGATGTCATCTGTAAACTATCTGTGTTGGAATATGAGACCACATTCAGGTAAAGTTATTGTCTAGGATGTCATCTGTAAACTATCTGTGTTGGAATATTACACCACATTCAGGTATAATTATTGTCTAGGATGTCATCTGTAGACTATCTGTGTTGGAATATGAGACCACATTCAGGTATAATTATTGTCTAGGATGTCATCTGTAAATTATCTGTGTTGGAATATTAGACCACATTCAGGTATAATTATTGTCTAGGATGTCATCTGTAAACTATCTAAGATGTCATCAGTAAACTATCTGTGTTGGAATATGAGACCACATTCAGGTATATAATTATTGTCTAGGATGTCATCTGTAAACTATCTGTGTTGGAATATGAGACCACATTCAGGTATAATTATTGTCTAGAATGTCATCTGTAGACTATCTGTGTTGGAATATGAGACCACATTCAGGTATAATTATTGTCTAGGATGTCATCTGTAAACTATCTGCGTTGGAATATGAGACCACATTCAGGTATAATTATTGTCTAGGATGTCATCTGTAAACTATCTGTGTTGGAATATGACCACATTCAGGTATAATTATTGTCTAGGATGTCATCTGTAAACTATCTGTGTTGGAATATGAGACCACATTCAAATATAATTATTGTCTAGGATGTCATCGGTTAACTATCTGTGATGGAATATGAGACCACATTCAGTTATTGTCTAGGATGTCATCTGTAAACTATCTGTGTTGGAATATGAGACCACATTCAGGTATAATTATTGTCTAGGATGTCATCTGTAAATTATCTGTGTTTGAATATTAGACCACATTCAGGTATAATTATTGTCTAGGATGTCATCTGTAAACTATCTGTGTTGGAATATGAGACCACATTCAAATATAATTATTGTCTAGGATGTCATCGGTTAACTATCTGTGATGGAATATGAGACCACATTCAGTTATTGTCTAGGATGTCATCTGTAAACTATCTGTGTTGGAATATGAGACCACATTCAGGTATAATTATTGTCTAGGGTGTCAGCGGTAAACTATCTGTGTTGGAATATGAGAGCACATTCAGGTATAATTATTGTCTAGGAGGTCATCGGTTAACTATCTTGTTGGAATATGAGATCACATTCAGGTATAATTATTGTATAGGATGTCATCGGTAAACTATCTGTGTTGGAATATGAGATCACACTCAAATATAATTATTGTCTAGGATGTCATCGGTTAACTAACTTGTCGGAATATGAGATCACACTCAAATATAATTATTGTCTAGGATGTCATCGGTTAACTATCTTGTTGGAATATGAGATCACATTCAGGTATAATTATTGTCTAGGATGTCATCTGTAAACTATCTGTGTTGGAATATGAAACCACATTCTATTCTAGGATGTCATCGGTAAACTGTCTGTGTTTGAATATGAGACCACATTCAGGTATAATTATTGTCTTGGATCTCTTCGGTAAACTATCTGTGTTGGAATATGAGACCACATTCAGGTATAATTATTGTCTAGGATGTCATCGGTAAACTATCT